TATAATGGGTCAAGATAAAAAAAAAACGGTTTGTGGCATTGTAATCAGGGTAGAAATTTGGTTCGAAATAATAGGTCACAACGCCACTTTTACATTTGAAAACAATATTTTGCATCCAATTTGGCGAATCCAAAGTGGCGGCCGGAAATGACCACCTTTTCAAAATGAGGTACTTACTATCAAAAAATGTTAAGAAGTGGTCTGGGATTGATATTTCAACAATTGTAGAAAAATCCTAGTATATGGGGAAGGGACTTTATAACCACCCTATTAGCATTTACCTAACTGATTAGTTGTTTATGATCATACATTTTTATAGTCACTGGTGTCGAACATATAAAAAGTAAGCATAATTTTGAAATGCAATATGTTCAGTATGTTTTGCGAATAAAACATAACGTAATAAGTTTCGCTTAGCTCCTCACTTCACTCGAAAGTTTCCAAGCTTAACTTTGTTTCCAAGTGTATTCTCATGATATATGTTCATCAGCAGTAATAATAGGATAACTTAAACTATTGTTACAAAGTGAATATCTCCATTGAACTGGGATATTAGTAGGCTACATTATAGTTCAAACATAGTTGTTCAATACTACATCAACTAACTAATATCAACTATTATTACTTGTGCAACAAATTTATAATTTTATTACATTAAGACACTCATGTATACATTAGTATGAACTGTAAAGGGAATTGGTGATCATAAATCTTATTACAGTAAATAAAAGAAATAAAACTGATGAAAACTGTGTTAATGCCATGCAAAGCGCAATGTTGAGGTCAGCTTACTGTAAATAAGCCCTATAAAACTTATTTACGATGCAGTTTTTGTGAATTACGACCGTAATAAATAGGAAACCGAGGTTCCTAACTTTCTTATATCTTAGGCATAAATTATATCAACATTGCATTTATGCTCGGTTTATGTGCCTTTAAGGTACCTGGTTTTCTCACTCCACGAGTTTTATCGGTCTCGCTACAGTTGGCGAAACCTAAATGTATCTGTTACATTTCCTGTAGTGACATTCACCAGCCAGACTTTGTCCCAGACACATTAGTGCTTAATCACTTTGTTTACTACTGGTGATAAATCCCTTACCTACTCTAATATAAGTGGAGCTTTTTGCTCCTCTAATCCCTCCTATAATTCAGCATCTGTAAAACGGATTGTCAAAACTATTTTCTCTCCTACACTGGCTCATGAATTTGTGAATTTTTTTACTGAATAAAATTTGTAAAATTAGATCCTACTTAAAATAACTGTAAACAAAACGTTTATTAATAATGCAAACTAATTGGGCTGCAACATACATTATTACGTTTTGGGGGTATTTTAAACAGAAAGCCAATCGTAAAGTCGTGAAATGATCCTATATTATTGGCAAACATTTGAACAAATTCTTTTGTTGGCTAAGTATGGATGAGCTTACAGTATAGAAAGCGGCCTAACCTACACCTGTACCTGGGGACTGGGCGCCATGAGCTGTCGCTGCTTGGACCTCACTTTCACCACACTGGCTCACTGTTGCTATGGCTACTGCATGATGCAACAACACTGCACAACTGAAGCTGGGTGTTGCTGCACCACGACCTTATCCTTCACACTTCACACTCTACCTACAGACAACTCCCCCCTCCTCCACTGGTCTACTCTGGCCAGGCTAAGTATTTTTACATACTGTACAAGGATACGTAAGATGTTTCAATAAAAATAAAAATCTTGTAAATAGTACGAACGATTACGCACTCTCGAATTATTACAACCATTGACTAATTTTCGAGTATCCTCACCTTACCTATAACTTTATGGTGGAACTGAAATGGTAATCGATTTGACTTGACAATTAAATTCAAAAATGTTTGTTATAAAACATTAAAAGGGAACAAATGCCACAGAAATGTTAACACTTCGACACTTTTGAAGAAAAACTAAACTAAATAAACAGTTAAAACCTAAATAAAACTCTCAATAACGTAAAACCAAATCAATTGCTATTAAATGTATCATGAAGATGGGTGGTTATTATTTAACACTATTTTCAACCAGGTGAATACCGGTACTCCTTTATGGATCGTACTTAGTTCAAAAGTGTTTGTATATTTGTATAAAAACGTCCAATAAGAGCTAAATTTAGGTTGTTTAATATTTGATGTTTAACATTTAGAGCGAAATATACCGTAAATCGTAGCTATATTATTTAGTGTTAATTCGAGATCCTCTGTTTGATTTGATATAATTAGAATGTTTAAAAACCTTTGGCTAATAAGTTAAAATATATATAACACATTTACCCTTTTAAACACAACAAGTTATGGTGAAGTTCTTTACGACGTAGTTAAAGAAACGAAGGTCTGCAGACAAGGAAGCGAAACAAATTAGTGTAATCCAACTGGCTATTGAGATAAGTAATCGCTTACTTCCGGACAATTACCAGTTCAAACGTGGTCTGTCGGCGGCAGTACAGGGGGAGGAGGGATACGTCCTCGGATCTGCATAAGAACAAATCCCCAACATCTCTTCTACATTTACGACCTAGTCAGAGAGATAAATGACATTTAAATATATAAACTTTCACCATGAGGGTTGAGGAATGATGTTTGTATTCCCTTAAGCGATAAAATGTTACATGTATTCCTACTTCTCTTTCCCTGCCTATTGAGACAATCTCAACTTTGGCAAGAAAGCTGCGTTACAGATCAGGTGTTGTCGTTTGACATGTTGTCTTTTAGGTCAACAATGAGATGTCAGATTTGACGGCATCCGTTGTTTGTTTTTCTGCATAGGAAGTTTTTCATTTTGATACTATCACAGTTTTCTTAATTTTCTCTATTCGTCAAATTTATGGGAAATCCCCACCATTAACACTATTCAGTATTAAACACTATTTTTAATGTGTATATTATACAACTATTATATTATAGAAAAAATGTCAGATATTACTTCTAAGATAGTTGCTAGAGAAGACAATACGGGTACAACCCACGGTTAATGAGCGTTTATTAGATCGACCATACATTGGTAAAAAATATATATATATATATAACTATTCCTCAACAACTTTCTTCGTCAATGTTCTCTCATAAGAGTAAATATTAAATAAAATTATTACCAAAATCCACTACGAAGACCTAATTATTTGTAATTACGAGAGCTGGGGACAGCAATGGAAGCTTAAGTGAGTCGAAGTAAGGATTTATTTTGGATGATGTTCAAATAATGTAAAAATTGATTGTGTTGCACAGGGTTTGACAATAATTAAACATATTTAATTTATACAATATCAGATTAATTATTATATAAGAAATAATGTTTTTCGCTAATTTTGTTTAGAAAATGACAACAAATAAATAGTAGAACTTTCATTATTAACAAAGTGCGTGTACTACCGGTATATAGTTGTGAATGTAAGTTCTGTCACACTAAAAATTAAAAAAATAAATATATCTGCCTAAATTTTCGTTATTATTGATAAGCGGTTATTAAATGTACTTTATAAAACACCCTGTGGAGGTGTAAACTGAATTACACGATTATACAGCTCTCATTCTGGTCAAGTTAGTGGAACTGGATTGAATTATATAAATGTTTACAAATAAAATATTCCCTTGCGTATAGCTGGGAAGTAATTATTTATTGGTCACGAGTAAAGATATGTAGATTTAAATGCTAGGCTACAGAATCAACGACACAATTGTTTAACCTAGTTTGGGGATCACAAAACCAAACATTCAACCTGTAAGGTGCTTTTAGACTTCATTCTGCAAAATTACATTACCATTTCATAGTTACATGCACTATAAACCCTTTATGTTGCATAAAACTTCCTTCAAAAAAGCAGAGGCTCTACCTTGTTTTATTTACTTATACACTCCATTACAACTCATATTATGTGTAAAACTATGAACACAAATATTCAGTTTAAGGGAAAAAAATCTTGTAATACTCATATTTCTCTCACTAAAATATATTGTTCGTTTGATTTTTAATTACAAGAACAATGTTTAAAACTCTAAACAGTCTGAGACTAGAGTTAAACAAATGTGTTTATTCGAGAAGAGTTTTAATGAATAAATCTTCAGAAACTATGAGAACATCATGCCGAGCTGTGGCTGTATAGAAGGCAAGAGTCACAGACTATAGAATACTGTAATGGTAAGAATACTGTAATACGGTAATGTAACACTGTAGAATACTACAATAACTGTTTACTCTATAGTCTGTGTAAGAGTCGCCTCTTATATCCTTACTGTGGGAACTCCGCGTAAGCGACCAAGCGGGAAATACTTAAGTTAAGACCTTCTACGACTACAGGGAAATATATACCATTCGACTAATCTATAATCCAGGAAACTGATTACTAAATTAGTTACCTTTAATTACACGATGGAAGAAATAAATCAAAATACCCTCGCTGCAGCAAACCTGCAGACTAAGCGAATTTCCATTTGCCTGATTTGATTTTCACTTTTAGTAATATTAGGTTTAACAAGCACTTAGGTTTGCTGCTACAGGGAGGGTAATAAAGGGTGTTTATTTTAAAATATTAATAGCTTAGTATAAAATAAATAAATTTACCAAGTTTGATCAAAATATTTATAAACAATCTAACTACAACAGTTCATAAAGCATTTCTTATAAAGTAATTTTCTTCGAAAAAAGTTTCATGCAAAAACATCAAATCAATTAAACTAAAAATAAGTGTGCTAACTAATTATGAATTGATTGTTCTCTTGATTTTGAACTCCAGCAAAATAAAATGAAGACGTTGTTTTCGTTTTCTAATCTTAAAAACAAACAAAAACACTTTTTCTCTTGCCAACTGCGATATAGCTTTGTTTTTTGAGGTTATTGTGATAATAATATTTCACATGATGCTTATATCAACATCTGCAAAATATATGCAAAACTGCTGAAATATACAATTTTAGGAACAGTTTCGATGATGAATTATTGTCGATTCGGTTGTTGATTATTAAGTCAACAGTTGTGTACGTACCGTAGTTATGTCTGGTGAATCCTCATTAGTGAGAGACACAGCACACACGCCAGCACCGTAGCTGCCATACCAGCGATACACTGCACTACAGTACCAGCAACGTTACTGCATCCTACCACTACCGATACTACCGGTACTACAACCTGAGCTAGTGTTGTCAGTGTACCAGCAATATCATACACTACAGTACTAGCGATCACAACACTACACGAATGCTACTACACTATGTTACATGAACACCAGAGCACCACAGTACCACAACGCGGCGCCGACTGTACTGATACTAGAACCACCGCGTGCCGTGCGGTGACTAGTCCAACATGACCTTGACCTTGCTATCAGCGCATCCTCCTCCCTGAGGTCACCGATAAGTTGTTTCTTACAGACACTAATTGTATAATTCGTCGTTGTTTCATGTCACAGACTAGACTGTTGTACATTGAAAAATGATAAGTTACATCTAATCTTTGAACTGATTGCTTTGATAAAGTTTGTCCATAAATTTGCGAGTTGTCAATCTGACCTAATGTAATTTAATAGTTAAAATGCTTGATTTTGATAGAAAATTTACGAAAAAAAACATTTTTAATGTCAATGAAAAATCAGAATACAACAATACAAGTTGAGTCAATGAGTTGCGGGAATAAAATCAATATGACTATGATAAAAAAAATACCCCCGTCGCAGCAAACCTGCATACTAAGCGAATTTCTATTTACCCAGCTTGATTTCTACTAAAATATTCCCTATACATTTTCAGATTTATTTCCTATTTAAATAACATTAATTTTAGTGAGTAGTTAGGTTTGCTGCTACGGGGAAGATGTTGAGGAGTGTTTTTTTCAATTGAAATATTGATAGCTTAGTATGAAATAAACCAAATTGCCAAATTTGATTAAAATATATCCATAAACAAGCAAACTAGAACAGTTTATTTATTCTCCATAAGAATAACATGGGAATTTTAAATTTACAATTTTTTTAATTTTCTCCTTAGTCAATGAACATTTAAAAACACTTCAATATACTAAATCATTTGTTTTTTTAAGCTCTTCAAAATGGACTAGAGAGAAATTTAGAAATTTAAAGTTTTTAGGGTCAAAAATGAGAAAAACCCATTTTTACCCCATAAAACCCCCCATAAACCCCTGATCCCATTGTCCGATTATGCTGGTTCGCGAACTCGTTCGAATAAATGTAGGTTTACACGTTTGTACCAAATTTCATCAAAATCGGATCAATTTTGCTCGAGTTATCAAAGCGCTAACGGACACATATATAAATATAAGTAGATAGTAATGTACCAATCCTAGCGCAAAAAAGTACGAGTTCAGAAAACCAATGTAAAATCTCTGTTTTTGACAGAAAGAAATTGTTTGTTCTATTAATTAAAATATATTTAATCTTTCTTTAAAATCCATTGAAGTTTTGTTGAATTTGCATTTATTTATTAATAAAATTTACCAAAAAAGGAAGACTTTAATAATTTAATGAAATTTGTTGTTTTTCAATACTAATATGTTTAATTTTTGCCTCTTTTAGGCCAATTTCTAACATTTTCATATTTTTCTAGAAAAAGTATACAATTTTGATGAAATTTTCATGAATATGTCTATATTTTACATAAAATTGACTACAAACTGAAATGTTTTTAAAAACAAGTAAAATTTTAAAATTTTGTATTCAAATATTCTAAATATTTTATTTAAATTATTGTTTTTGTAAATAATATTTTTCCTATTTGAGTTATTCAAAATTTATTAAAAGTATTGAATTTTTCAGAAAATTCTAATGATATTTAATGTATTATAAGTCTAATAAATGTTAAATTGATAAGTAAATGTTTTCAAAAATAAATTGTATTTGTATTAAATTGTTATATAAAAAAGAGGTTTTTAGTAAAGTTTAAGCTTTTTAACTGTCATTAATATGATTTAAAATTAATTTAAGTATATTACTTATTTTTTCTTTATAATAAATGGAGAAGAAATGTTTAAGATGTAAATTGTTAAAAGATGTATCAGAGTTTTCAAAAAGAAAATCAGCAAAAGATGGATTATATTATTACTGTAAAGAATGTGATAAATTATATAGAAAGGAATTATTTGATAATATTAAAGGATTTGAAAGAAATCAAAAAGAGTGTTTAAATTGTAAAAAAATCAAAGATATAGTAAATTTTTATAACTCGAATTATAGTAAAGATAAAAAGTTAGCAATTTGTATTGAATGTTATAGAGATATGTTTTTAAAACCACAATTTTGTGAGTGTGGAAGAAATATTAAATGGGTCAATAACTATGTAAGACATTTAAAAACTAATATTCATAATAAAAATATCAATAAATAAATAATTTAATAATATTATTAGAAATTGTATTAGTTGAAAAAAGTTTTGATATTGTTAATATTCTAAAGAGTTGTTTTTAGATAATATTGAAAAAATACTCTAGAATATTTAAATTAATCAATAATTAGTTGATAATTTAGTTGATTTTATTGAAAAAATGTTCTAGAAGTTTTAAATCGACTCCTAATAACTGATACCTTGAAAATATTGAAAAAATACTCTAGAATATTTAAATTGATCAACAATTAGTTGACTGTTGATTTTATTGAAAAATACTCCAGAAATTTTAAATCTACTCTTAATACCTGATATCTTGAAAATATTGAAAAAATACTCTAAAATTTTTAAATTGACTCTTAATAACTGATTTCTTGAAAATATTGAAAAAATACTCTAGAATATTTAAATTGATCAACAATTAGTTGACTGTTGATTTTATTGAAAAAATACTCTAGAAATTTTAAATCTGCTCTTAATAACTGATATCTTGAAAATATTGAAAAAATACTCTAAAATTTTTAAATTGACTCTTGATAATTGATATCTTAAAAATATTGAAAAAACAAGCTGGAAAATATAAATTGACTAGTAATTAGTTGATTTCTGATTTTATTGGGAAAAAAAACCTCTAGAAAATATAAATTGACTAGTGATTAGTTGATTGTTCATTTTATTAAAAAGTTGTTTTGCAAAAATTTTCCTTTAATAAATGGAACGACAAAGTAAAAATATTTTATGCCCTTATTGCATTAAAAATATATCTTCTACAAATTATTCAAAACATTATAATTCAAAGAAACATTTAGAAAATAAAATAAAATATGAAAATGAAACTAAAAAGTTAAAAGAGTGGTGTAAAAATAATAATATTTATGATTATGAAACAAAAGAAATTGATGAATTAAAACAGATCAAACAGTTATATGATCCAGCAAACTATTTATTATTTAATGAAGAAAAATTAAAGGAAATTGCTAACAAACTATCTGTTAGAAACTATACAAATTTAGTAAGAAATGAACTGATTAAAAGACTAAATAAAATTAAACAAAATCCTAATAATTTTAAATATAGATCATTGAAATTTATTCAAGATTTAGCTGTTAAAAATAATATTAAAATTGTAAATAAAACTAGAAAGGAATTGACTGAATTATTGACTGATCATCTTAAAAATAAACCGATTCCAAAAGAAAATATAATAAATATTCAAGAAGCTTCTTCATTAAAAGGTTATTTTCAAGAATATATTCTAACAAATTCAAATGATGGTTTGGATATATCTGATTATTTAGAATCACAAAGAAGTGAAATTCAAAAATTAATTGAAAAACAAAAATTTAAAAATATAAAAGGACAATTAGCTTTAACATGTGAATATCAAAGAAAATTGGTTAGTGGTGAAAATCAAACCAGTACAATGTATTTTGCTCTTAGGAGTTCAGATATCTTAAATATTAATGAATTTATAAATGATCAGTTTACAAAATTAATATTAAGAGAAAATTTGAATCAACCATCAAAAGGTAGTGGTTGGTCATTAAATAGATGTTTAGAATTAAATCTAAAATTGAGTAAAAATAATTCATTAAATGCTGGTTCATATATTGAGTTGCCAAAACAAATTAAAAACAAAAAGTGTTGTATAAATTTTAAAAATAAAGATGAATACTGTTTTATTTATGCGATTAGATGTGCGATTGATAGACCAAAAAGAGATTCTGAACGAGTTAAACAGTATCAGAGTTATATAAATGATGAAATTTTTAAAGAATTTGATTATCCAATGAGTTTAAAAGATATAAAATTATTTGAAAAAAGATCATTTGATTCTAAATATAATTATCCATCCATGTCAATTAATGTATACAGATTTGATGAAGATAAAAAGATTGTTCCATTACAAATATCTGAAAATTATTATGCAAAATTAGACATTGATTTGTTGTATTATAAAGATGGTGATAACTCACATTACATACTAATAACTGATTTAAGTAAATTAGTTTCTAACCAAGTTTCAAAAGATGGTCATAAACTATATATTTGTAGAAGATGTTTAACACATTTTTACAAAAACAAAGATTTAAGTGAACATTTAATAATTTGTAAATCTCTTGAACCTTGTCGACCAATTATGCCATTTTCTGGTGAAACTGTTAAATTTGAAAATTATTATAAAAAACTTGAACATCCTATTGTAATTTATATGGATTTTGAAAGCATTCTGAAAAAGATTAATACTTGTGAAAATAATCCAAATAACTCATATACAAATAAAATTCAGAAACATATACCTTATGGATTCACAATTTATTTAGTTTCTAGAGTGACTAATAAAATATATAAACCAATTTGTTATAGAGCAAAAATAGATGAAGAAATAAAAAATGTACCAAATAAATTATTTGAATACTTAGATGGGATTTCAAAGTATATAGCTAAAAAATATAATTCGAAAAACAAAAAGCCTATGCGTTTAACTAAAAATGAAGAAATTGAATATCATAAAGCAAGTGTTTGTCATATTTGTGAAACTAGTGGTTTTGATAATGACACAAGACGAAAGGTAAGAGATCACTGTCATTTAACAGGAAAATTTAGAGGTGCAGCACATTCAAGTTGTAATTTAAATCTAAAATTTCCACAAAATATACCTGTGTTTTGTCATAATAGTTCAAACTATGATACACATTTGTTTATCAAAGAATTAGCTAAAAAATATGGTAAAATTGATTTAATAGCAAATACTGATGAAAAATATATAAATTATTCAGTAAATTCAGGATATGGTTATGAATTTGAAGATGATAAACCTAGAAAATTTGTAAAATTCTCATTTGTAGATACGTTTAGATTTATGGCCTCATCAATTGATAAGTTAGCTAAAAATCTGAAAGAATTTAAACACTTGACTAAATTTATAAAAAACATTGATA